TTGTAAATTTTGGTCAATGACATGAGACAAAGTATATGTGAACTGCTGTATGAAAAGTGAATTTACTCTGTAAATCTTCACCCAAATCCTAATAAAAATATAAAGAATGAAGGGAGTAATGCTGACTCTACTGTGATGATGGAATAAGGCAATGTCCTGTGTGCACAGGGTCGCCATGAGCCGGAGCCGACTCGACAGCATCTAACAACAATGGTATGTAGTTGCTCAGTAAATTACAGATGTTATTAATACTACAGACAGACTCATTCTGAAAGTGTGACTGTAAACATGTTTAACCGTGTTATTATTGGCACTGTGATATAAATACATTAAAATAAATAATTTGGGTTGGGCAGCAGAAACCGCTAATTGAACAATGAAATACGATTATAAACATGATTTGAAAGAACAGTCTATAGAAGCATTTTATCTCAAACAGAAAGGACAGTCTACTACAGCCCTAACACTGCACCTGTATTCATATTAAATCATATTACTGCTGTCCTGAGGAAGGACAGATGTGACAAATACGGAAATCTACCAATAGCATGACGGTTTTAAGTGTCTACACACACACACTCGGGACAGTAGAAAGGATTCTGGACTCTGAGACAGGAATCCTGGGTTCTATTCCATTCTCTAATTAGTTGTGTGATAACAGGCTACTCACATCACAATTCTGCATGTCTATTTCCATCTGTTAAAAAATCAACAGGGAGGGTGGGATAGGGAAGGGGGAGATAGACAAAGTATCTGGTAACCATTAACATGCTGAGTCCAGGAGCTAAGAATTTCAGTAAGCTGCTTTTGGGGAGGTCCCCTCACATGACCTCACAGGAGTCTTGGAAGTACAGTAGTTAAGCACTTAGCTGCTGATTGAAAGGTCAGAGGTTCCAACCAACCAGCTGCTTCATGTGAGAAACATGAGGCAGTCTGCTTCCAATGCAGACTGGCAGCCTTGGAAACCCATGGGGCAGTTCTCCTCTGTCATATAGGGTCGCTAGGAGTCTGGTAGCATAGTGCCTAAGGCACTTGACTGCTAACCAGAAAGCTGGCGGTTCAAACCCACCAGCCACTCCTCGGAAGGAAGATGGGGCAATCTACTTCCGTAGTGATACTGGCTCGGAAACCCAAGGAGGGGTCGCTATGAGTCGGGGCCGACTCAGCGGCACATAACAACAACAACAACAGGAGTCGGACTCAACTAGATAGCAATAGTTTTATTTTCCCTCCATGACCACTAGATGACAGTCTTCCTCGGTCCTTACCTGCTTCTGCCGGTCCAGCTCTGCCTCGAGTTCTTGTTTAGATGCTCTGTGCTGAGCTATTTGGTCTTGTAGGTCTTGTAACTGCTCCCTCGCTGCTTCTGCTTCATGAGCTTGTTGAGCCTCCACATCCTACAAACATGAACCTCACATGTGAAAGCAGTAAGTGACTGTTCGGGTCAACACTTACCAAGCCACCAACACATGCCACAAACCGGGCTTAGTGGCAACTGGAAGGATGAAGACAAGGGAGGCTCAGTCTCAGCCTATGAGGTGCATTGAAACTGACACCTTCACTCCACAAGATGATAGAGTGACAGGAATGAACAACACTACAGCAGCCACAGCTTGTCATCTGCTTGGTTTCATGACGAGTAGGAGCAGAAAGGGGCTTGGGGAGGTTTATGTCTACTTGAAAGCTAACGACTTCTAAGAGAGCAGAAACAGAACAACCGCCTGATGATGAAAGTCGCTGAGTCGGTTCCTGAAACTGCAGGTTATAATGAGTATTTTGTGAGCACCAGTGATCAATGTGAATGGCGCTCACACTGTCTGAGGCCAGCACGTTGTTGTCTCCTGAGCTTTAGTACTATGGTCTTTTTTCATAACTTCCCATAGTTCTTACCCCTTCACTTTGGTGTTACTACTCTCACTTCTAAACTCAAAAAGCACCTGGAGGATTTCCTGCAAAATCTTAATTCTTTGCCAAAGAAACTGGCTCAAGGTTTCTGTTTTCCCCATCTGTTTTTAAGCATAAGACATACGCAGGCCTGAATGATGCATGGCACACGGCATATGGCAGGCACTGTGTAATTAATATCCACTGAATGAATGAATCTGGTGGCCTATGTTTCTTATCCTTATTCCTGTAAACTTACAGTCCATCAGTGGACAAGAACTCTACTGCTTAGGCTCTACTTCTCCATGGTGACCACTGTTCCACCAGGAGGTTCCCTCACGCTCCTTCCTAAAGCCAAGGTGCAGACTCCATCACCTAGTGAACGGTCATTCGCTGGGGGTAAAGGGCCGTCGGTGATCCGCAGGGAACCGTACCTGTAGTTCAGACCGCAGCTGGTGGATGTGGCCCAGCAGCTTCTGAATCTCTTCCCTCTGCATCTCCTTCTCGTGTCGAAGTTCCTCTAGCTCCATGCTGCTGGCAGCACTGCTGTCTAGGCCTTCAAAACCGGAGCCTTCCTTTAAGCTGTTAATCAATTTTTCTTTAGACTATTATAGAAAGAGAAATGTGTAAGGAAAGCAGAGATCAGCTTGCACGCTAAATACTGTAATTTTGGTTTATTTTTTTTAATTTGAGCAGAAACTAAGGCCCGATGGCAGTATTCCAATCACATCCTTCATCAACGGGTGCTCACAGATGGGTAAATCCACAAGGATGACAATGCATCAGAGCCTGCCTGACAACATGTTATTCAAGGAGGCTTTGTGGCACAGGGTATGACTTGGCTGCTAATTGAAAGGTCAGCAGTTGGAAATGACCAGTGGGAGAAAACACCTAGTGATCTGCTCCTGGAGAGATCACAGCCTATGAAACCCCATGGGGCAGATCAACTCTGTCCTGCAGGGTCACTATGACTTGCAATCAACTCCATGGCACACAGTAAGAAGTTATTTTTAATAGTCAAAAAACAAAGTCCTCCCAACCCCACATCTCTGCCTAGCTACTATCCCTTCCTTATGTTCACAGCCAAGCTGTCACAATCTTTATAGCTTCGTCTCCCAATTCACACTCAAAATGCCCTTTGAGAGGTCCCTAGGAAACTTCTTGCTGCCAAATTCCAGACCCTGCCCTGTCCTGATCACATTCAAGCTCCCGGTCATATCTGCCCATCACTGTCCCTTGGATACTCTCCCTGCTGGATCCCCTGGGTAGGACCGGTCTCTCCTGGCTCTCCTCTAGCCTCTAACTTCTCTTAGTTTCTTTCTTCTAGGCTCTTCTTCCTTCGCCCAAGGGTTAAATACTGATGCTTAAAACTGTGTTCTTCGACCTCAGCCTTCTCCCCTCTCAGGCTAGTACCATTCTTGGGCAATCTTATCTATACTCCTCTTCCACATGGGCACTTCCACACGGCCAATGGCCAGACCTCTCTGCTGAGCTTCAGGCCTGAATTTCTAGTCTTCCTGATGCTTTCATCTCAATGACACAACATTTTTGCAAACTCACTGTAATTTTTTACCATCTCCTTCAACCCTAATCTGTTTCCTCTTTACAATGCAAGGGAACATCACTCACACAGTCCTTCAAACCACAAATGTGGAAGGCATCCTAGAGTCAGCTGACCTTTTTCTGCTCCCTGCAATGAAATCCCCAAGTGTTCTATGTACACCTCCTCCACATCTGTTCCATGTGTGTCATCCTCACTGGCATCACCTTAGATCAAGCCCTCAGTATTTCTTACCAGTCTTCTTACAGTTATCTCTTCACCACCAACCAAAAAAAAGCAAACCAAACTCTGCCATCAAGTCAAATCCAACTCACAGCCACCCCTCCTTGGGTTTCCAAGGCCCTATCTCTATGGATGCAGATTGCCCAGTCTTCCTTCCAAAGAGTGGCTGGTGGGTTTGAACCACCAGCCTTATGGTTAGCAGTGCCTTAGGCACTACGCCACCAGAGCTCCCCTTCATCACCTACATGCTTCCATTCCTCATTCTTTCAATTCATCCAGCAGTAACTTACTAAGCACCTGCTGTGGGCCAGGCAGTGTGCTGGGGCTACGACAACACACAAGATAGAGGCCCAGCTCTCCACTGAGCTCCTCACTGCTGCCACAGTTTTTACACCCAACCCTCATCATGTCACTTGATTTCTTTACCCTCCACCCCCTTCATCTATGAGATCAAATCAAAACTCCTTTGCAGAGTTTTAAAAAAGCCCTTCATGATCTGGCTTTTACCTGCCACTGAGTTTTATCTCTACACTTTAAGCGAAGCCAGGTGCCAGGGGCTTTTGGAAGCAGCTTTAAGGGGTGGCCTGGAAGCGGAGCTAGGTGCTGGGGGCTTTTGGAAGTGGCTTTAAAGGGCGGTCCAGAAGCAGAGCCGAGCACTGGGGACTTTTAGAAGCAGCTTTAAGGGGCAGCCCAGAAGTGGAACTGGTCACCAGGGGCTTCTGGACGCAGCTTTAAGGGGTGGCCCAGAAGCAGAGCTTGGTGCCTGGGCTTTTGGAAGAGGCTTTAAAGGGCAGCCTGGAAGTGGAGCTGGGTGCCAAAGGCTTTTGGAGTAGCTTTAAGGGAGGTTAGGAAGGAGAACTGGGCGCGGGGTTTGGAGCGGCTTTAAGGGAGACTAGGAAGTGAGTGGAGTGGTTTGGAACAGCTAAGGGAGACGAACTTCTCTGTCAGTTTGTCGTAGTTGCTCACAGGTTACTGTGAGGCTGGAGGCTATGCCACAGGTGTTGCAAATGTCAGCAGGGTCACCCATGGTGCACAGGTTTCAGCAGAGCTCCCAGACTAGGACAGACTTGGAAGCAGGAAGGAGCCATCTACTTCTCAAAGAACGGGCCAATGAAAACCTTATGAATAGCAGCAATATACTGTCTGATATATTACTAAAAAAACTTTACGAATAGCCCTGAAACACTGTCAATATAGTGTCAGAAGATGAGCCCATCAGGTCAGAAGGCACTCAAAATATGACTGGGGAAGAGTTGCCTACTCAGAGTAGAGCTGACCTTAATGATATGGATGGAGTAAAGCTTTCGGGACCTCCACTGGCTGATGTGGCAAGACTCAACATGATAAGAAACAGCTGCAAACATCCATTAATAATTGGAACATGGAATGTACAAAGTATGAATCCAGGAAAATTGGAAGTTGTCAAGAAAGAAATGGAACACATAAAGATCGATATCCTAGGCATCAGTGAGCCGAAATGGACTGGTTTTGGCCATTCTGAATCAGACAACCATATGATCTACTATGTCAGAAATGACAGGCTGAAGAGGAATGGTGTGGCATTCATCATCACAAATAATGTTTCAGGACCTGTTCTGAAGTATAATGCTGTCAGTGATAGGATAGTATCTACACCTACAAGGAAGACCTGTTACTACCACTATCATTCAAATATACACACCAACCACCAAAGCCAAAGATGAGGAAACTGAATACTTTTACCAATTTCTGCAGTCTGAACTTGACCAAACATGCAATCAAGATGTGTTGATTATCACTGGTGACTGGAATGTCAAAGCTGGAAACAAAGATGAATCACTCACTGGTAGGTGGAAAATACGGCCTTGGTGACAGAAATAATGCTGGAGATAGCAATGATAGAATTTTGCAAAATCAATGACTTACTCATCACAAATATCTTTTTACAACAATACAAACAGTGGCTATACACATGGACTTCACTGGAATCAGATTAAGTACATTTGTGGCAAGAGGTGATGGAGAAGTTCAGTATTTTCAGCCAAAACAAGGCCAGCAGCTGATTGTGGAATAGACCATCAACTGTTCATACGCAACTTCAAGGTGAAGTTGAAGACAATTAAAACAAGTCCACGAGAGCAAAAATATGACCTTGATTACATCCCTCCTGAATTTAGAGACCATCTAAATTATAGATTTGATGCACTCAACACCAATGACCGAAAACCAGAGGAATTATGGGATGACATCAAGAACATCCTACTTCCGTAGTGATACTGCCTCGGCAACCCAAGGAGGGGTCGCTATGAGTGGGGCCGACTTGACGGCACATAACAACAACAACAACAACAACAACATCAAGAACATGGTTAGGCAATCTACTTCCGTAGTGATACTGCCTCGTCAACCCAAGGAGGGGTCGCTATGAGTCGGGTCCAACTTGACAGCACACAACAACAACAAATCAAGAACATCATCCATGAAGAAAGCAAAAGGTCATTCAAAAGACAGGAAAGGAAGAAAAGACCAAAATGGATGTCAGAAGAGACTCTGAAACTTGCCCTTGAATAGAGAGTAGCCAAAGCAAATGGAAGAAATGACAAGATAAAAGAGCTGAACAGAATATTTCAAAGATAGCTTGAGCACACAGAGCCAATTACTATAATGAACTGCGCAAACTTTACCTGGAATTAGAAAACCAAAAGGGAAGGACACACTTGGCATTTCTTAAGCTGAAAGAACTGAAGAAAAAATTTAAGCCTCGAGTTGCAATATACAAAGATTCTATGGACAAAATATTTAATGATGCAAGAAACATCAAAAGAAGATGGAAGGAACATACAGAGTCACTGTACCAAAAAGAATTGGCCGATGTTCATCCATTTCAGCATATGACCAAGAACCAATGGTACTGAAGGAACAAGCTGAGGATGCCCTGGAGGAATCGGCAAAAAACAAAGCTTCAAGAATTGAAGGAATACCCACTGAAATGTTTCAACAAACAGATGCCATGCTGGAGGCACTCACTCAGCAATGCCAAGAGATCTGGAAGACAACCACCTGGCTGACTGGAAGAGATCTGTATTTGTACTATATTTGTATCTATATTTGTTCCAAAGAAAGGTGATCCCATGGAATGTGGAAATTATCAAACAATATCATTAATATCATATGCCAAGTAAAATCTTACTGAAGATAATTCAAAAATGGTTGCAGCAGTATATTGACAGAGACCTTCCAGAAATGCAAGCTGGATCCAGAAGAGGATGTGAAATGAGAAATATCATTGCTGATGTCAGATGGAAAGCTAAGAATACCAGAAAGATGTTTACTTATGTTTTATTGACAACACAAAAGCATCAGATTGTGTGAATCATAAAAAATTATGGATAACATTGAGAAGAATGAGAATTCCAGAACACTTGGTTGTACTCATGAGGAACCTGTACACAGACCAGAAGCCTATCATTTGAACAGAACAAGGAGATACTGCATGATTTGAAATCAAGAAGGGAGTGCGTCAGCGTTGTATCTTTTCACCATACTTATTCAATTTGTATGCTGAGCAAATAATCTGAGAAGCTGGATTATATGTAGAATGTGGCATCAGGATTGAAGTAAGACTCATTAACAACCTGCGATACAAAGATGATACAACTTTGCCTGCTGAAAATGTGGAGGTCTTAAAGCACTTGCTGAAGAAGACTGAAGACTACAGTCTGCAATATACATTACACCTCAATATAAAACCAAACAAACCAAACTCACTGCCATTGAGTCATATCTGACTCATAGTGATCCTTCTTTGGGTTTCCCAGCCAGTATCACTAAGGAAGTAGATTG